GGTTGGTATTAGTACGTAACGCCTTCTGGTTTGCGCATGTGCCGTTGCCAACAAGTTATTACCTGTTTTTCTTTTTTCCTTCTTTTTTAATTGGGTGTGGGAAAGAATGAAGAAGGTACGTTGGGGTAACACACGAGAAGGACAACGGCAAGGTGCCTTGCTGGGCTATCTCCGCGGAGAAGAACAGACCATGGAGACGAACTACAACGTACGGAGGTACGGATACATTGTGAAGGACTACGTTGTACGTGTATTTCGTACATGCAGGCACGGTTCTCGCTGTTACCTTGGACGTCTGCAGACGTTGGATAAGGCACCTTACAACGTACTGCACATGGATCGACATTGTCTGGAAAATGTCTGGTACTTCGCACCTATGATTTTCGCTTCGAAACGTCCCCTTTTACTACCTAATTCATCGCCTAGGCCAACCTTCGAACCAGAGTCCGATCGTACAACATGTACTCGGTACACCCAGGGACGGGACCTCGCATTTCATTACCCAGCCAGCTCCCCCCTGGTAAACATCCCCCTGCAAGACGCCCGGGCTACATGGGTCGCTTTTCCTGCACGTCATCTCGATGGCGTCAAACTGACTGGGGATTGGGGATTACACTACACGTACACGTCCAGGGCACCCACAAGGGGGAGCGGCGGCTATATACAGCACAATAATTACCCTCTGACGGACAAAGACAAAGACACCACCCCTTTGCCAGTCCTTTCTCGTCGCGAACCGGTTCAAGGGGAGACACACAAATCGAGTCATTCCTTCAGATGATCAGATTATCTGATAGAGGCCTCCCCCCCTTTTCGATTTTATTTCTTCTTGCATCCCGGGACGCGGCATGCCGTGCGCTGATCTCACAGTCAGTCCCTTCCATCTTGATCGTCTTGATATCTCGACTTTATTGGACCGTTCTGACGGCGGCGGGAGGTCTGGTGTCACGCACACAGCATAAGCTCGAGGGATGGTCTTCGTCGTAGTTGGCGAAAATCCGAACCAAGCCCGTTCTGGTTGTCCTGGATAATACGAACCCACCACAATTAGCAGATGGGCCTAGCGCCACGAGGTAATCGGGCTGACTGGACGGACTGGACGGACGGACAGAAATACCCAAGATGGCCTCCTTACGTGCCGTCCCTTATTATTAGCCAACCACACCAACTACTGTCGAGATAGCAACTTATTGTCTCGAAAGTCTTGGGAGTACTACTCAGCAATCGCTCCTTCGCATGTTGCTATGTTAGTGTAGTTATTTATTAGCCTGGTTCTTTGCTCTCCGAGGTTTCCGATTCTCGGGCCTTGGTACGGATACGTTTGGGTTCTTGGCTCTTGGCTCTTGGCTCTTGGATCTTGGCCCATGGATCTTTGGTTCGCGGCCTCATTCGCGGAAACGCTCGGAATCTTGTCCTTGGGGAAGATGGGCGATAAGAGCGTAACATCCAAGTCTTTTGGCGCATGAATGAGTGCTTGGTTGAGCGGGCGTTGGAAATGAGACAACGCTTCTTCTCCATCTTCTCTCTCTCTTGCGTGTGCGTGTGGGTGTTTTATTTTTTTTATTTTTATTTTTATTTTAACACCTTTCCCCCTTTCGTCTCCTGCCTTACCACACACACTCTCGTCACCTTATAGTGGATGGCCCTAAATCTTGGCCTTGAATCTTACCTTGGTATTGAGGTGCGCATGTGGTATGAACATGTCTCACCTCCAATCATCCTAATACGAACTATCCCCTAATTTTGCCCGCCACTACGGGGAAAAAGATGGATGGCAATGACGAGCGCGAGACTGGATAATCAAGGATTCAAGGTCGGTTAGGCCGGTTATCACTCGGAGTTCGCATCGGCACTGTACGTCCGTCATGTTTCAGAAACTGATACTACCGTGACAGGGAAATTGTCATGCGATAGTTGAAATGGTTGCTTGAGCCGACCTCCATGCTTCTCCTATCGGTGGAGTCAGTTGCGCCTCCTGACAACCCAGTGTAGGAAACTTGTGTAGAAAACTTGGAAAAGGAACGCTGAACTTCAGTTTCCCTGTGTCGGGCGTTCGACGGAGAGTGAATCTCCTCGGCAGAAGCCGGCGAGGTTGAGATTTGACGGACCTCACCTCTCATCTGTCACCTCTCACCCCTCGCCTCAGGACCGTCATGTCTTCTTCGCTTGTGTTCGTCCCCGTCTTGTCTGTAAAGAAGTCGCTTAGTTTTCGGCTGTGAAAGGTATTGTAGATATGATACACGTGGACAAGCAATGTCTATCGTAGCTGGGTCTTTGCATGTCCTGTCCCGAATAGGCCGTTCAACCAACGGCCGGCAGTCTCGGCCTGCGAATTTACGGTGCCGCCGTATGAACGGAGAGCGTCTGTCCAGTCCTCGACGTCGTAGATCCGGGATCCGTCCAACGGCGAGGATGACGACGAAGAAGGGATATCGACATGTCCAGCGGAAGACGCGTTCACAAAGGTGAACTTGCTCAGTTGGCCATGGCGCGCCTCGAAGCTGAGATGGAACTTTTGAAACAGGACGAGTTAGCTCTCGGCGTCCTTGTCTCGATACCAAACAAAGAGGATAGGTATGTGATAACGAGTGCGTGCCCCATCAACTCAACTCACATCACTAGGCAATGAGGGCCTCTCTCTCGGATCGTCCTCGGTCGGGTAGGTTGAGAAGCTGAACAGCGGCGTTTGTCCGTAAATCCAATCCCTCGACTGCACCATGCGGGTGGTTAGTTATTGGCGGTCGAGTCTTTAGAGCGCGGAGAAGTAGAAAGAACAGTAAAAGGAAAGACAAGTTAAAAAAAAAGCAAAAAAAAGAAAAAAAAAGAAGAAAAAAGAAAAAGAAAAAAGAAAAAAAACGTACCAACAACTCTTTCATCCCCTTCTCAACTCCATCCACAGCCCCGGCTTCGTCGCCCACCTCGCAGAACACGTCGGGGTCGCCGTACATCTTCGCAAACTCAGCCACGACAGCGTCCTCGAACTCCCCGTTCCCGACGCCGACATTGCGCACGGGGGACCGCACGCTCTCCACGCCGCGAGCCTTGATAAAAGGTTCCGCGGGCGAGCGCAAGAGGGGCCCGATGGACCCCAAGTTTGGCGAGGACAGGAGACAGGTCCCGTGGTGGAGGCTGCGGAGGCGGGTGAGCTTGTAAGCGGAGCCGGAGATCTTGAACGTGTTTGCCCCATGGTTACCGTCGCTTTCACTGACGTCCACGTCCACGTCCACGTCCACGACAATGTCGTGCCGGGCGTTGACGCGCGCTCCTGGGACGCCCAGCCCCCGCAGCGCGCGCACCACCATCTCGGCGTGCTTGTCGCGGTCGAACGACTCGGGCGGGCAGATGACGCTGTAGTTGACGTTCCCCGGGTCGTGGAAGACCGTGCCGCCTCCCGAGCGGCGCCTCACGAGGTCGATGGTCGTGGGGGCCGGTTCATGGTCGCCGGGCTTCGTGCGGGCGGTGAGCGAGGAGAGCAAGGGGAGGTTGACCTCTAGCCAGGGATTCTGGTTGCGACCTATGACGACGCAGGGGCGGTTGGTGTAGAGGAAAAGGACGGTCGAGTCGGGGGGTGTGGTCTGGAGCAGGTGGTGCTCGACGGAGAGGTTGAGATAGGGGTTGCGGGAGCGGGAGAGGTAGACTTGGGGTTTGGAGGTTGGCGAGGCGGCGGCGGCGGCGGCGGCCGTAAAAGGGCGGAAGGAAGAGCAGGGTGGGACGCGGGATCCGAGCCCGCGAAGACGGGACGGAGAGAGCAGCATGGGTGGGCTATGTCGATGAGCGACTACCTACCTTGCCCTCATTGTTGAGTATGGGATGGTGAGGTGAGATGTGGTGTTATGAAAGGCTATACGATCTGGATCGTCGGGTTATAACCAAGAATAAGCTGTAGAAAGCTCTTCGTGTAGCTTAGAATTAAAGACAGACTAAAATGGATATGAGTTTTGAGTTGAGAGATTCGAATTAAGTCGATATTGACGACTGTTTGACCGAATCTGATGCTGTCCAACTGTCAAACCGTCGAGGACGATGAGGCTGGACGAGGTTTGCAGGTGTGCATCTATCCACCATATGGCAATGGAAGAGTGGGAGATATGCATGTCAAAGCATATGCAGTAATTGAAGAATACCCCTCCGCCGTGATCGGCCTGGGAAAGTTGCAACTCCAAACTTTCTGCATCCTGTCGCTCACGCCTGACTCACCGAAGAAACAAACGAAATAATACATAAGAAAATCAAGAAAACAAAATAAGAGGACCATCGTACATCGTACATCTTCCCTCATTCTACGGCGACATATCCACATCTCCGCAATGTCAACATTTGGTAATTATTTCCGGGTTACCACGTAAGGAAAACGAATCCCCCTCCAATAGACCAGCCCCATGCCCACCCAGTGGCTAACTCCCTGCCCTTCCCCTCACAGCTATGGCGAGTCGCACGGCAAATCGGTCGGCGTCATAGTAGACGGCATCCCCCCCGGCATGGCCCTCACCGAATCCGACATCCAACCGCAACTGACGCGCCGCCGCCCCGGCCAAAGCGCCATCACCACGCCCCGCGACGAGAAGGACCGCGTCACCATCCACTCGGGCACCGAGTTCGGCGTCACCCTCGGCACCCCCGTGGCCATGGTGGTCGCCAACGAGGACCAGCGCCCGCGCGACTACGGCAACAGCACCATGGACCGCTTCCCGCGCCCCTCGCACGCCGACTGGACCTACCTGGCCAAGTACGGCGTGAAAGCCAGCTCGGGTGGCGGCCGCAGCTCCGCTCGCGAGACCATCGCCCGTGTGGCCGCCGGCGCCGTCGCCGAGAAATACCTCCGCCAAGCCTACGGCACCGAGATCACCGCTTTCGTCGCCTCCGTCGGCGCCGTCCACCTCTTCCCCCCGACCCCGGACCACCCGTCCCCGTCCACGAACCCGGACTTCCTCGACTTGCTGCGCACCATCGACCGGGACACCGTCGACCGCTTCCTCCCCGTCCGCTGCCCCGACCACGCCGCCGCCACCCGCATGAACGAGTACATCGCCTCCTTCCGCGACCGCAACGACAGCATAGGCGGCACCGTCACCTGCGTCGTCCGCAACCCGCCCGCCGGCCTGGGCGAGCCCTGCTTCGACAAGCTCGAGGCCCTCCTCGCCCACGCCATGCTCAGCATCCCCGCCACCAAGGGCTTCGAGATCGGCTCCGGTTTCGGGGGGTGCGAGGTCCCCGGTTCCACCCACAACGACCCGTTCATCAAGGCCCCCGACGTCGATGCCGTCGCGGCTGCTGGTGCCGGTTCGGCCGCCACCTCGGGGAACGGGATCCCCCGCTCCCGCCTCGCCACCAAGACCAACTACAGCGGGGGCGTCCAGGGCGGCATCTCGAATGGCGAGCCCATCTACTTCCGCGTGGCCTTTAAGCCCGCCGCCACCATTGGCCGGGACCAGTCCACCGCCACGTACGACGGCGAGGAAATGGGTGTTCTGGCTGCCAAGGGCCGTCATGACCCTTGCGTTGTACCGAGAGCCGTGCCCATTGTCGAGGGTATGACTGCCCTCGTCCTCATGGATGCCCTCCTCGCCCAGCATGCCCGCCACGTTTCGAGCAGTCTGCTGCCGCCGCTGCCCAAGGCCCAAGGACAAGCTCTTCCGGTGCAACAGCCACCGGCTCCCTCTTCATAGCGGTGTTGTCGCTTTTTCTTGAATTGGTTCTCTCTCGTATATAGTTGTTTTGCAGTCCGAAGAAGAGGAACCCCAGGGGGGGGGGGAATACATCAATGTGTCAAATTTCCTTATAAGGCGTTTCAAAAGACCCCCCAAAATAAAACAGATGCTGATTGCTCTGTCAAGCTTGATGATAAAAAAAAAGATAAAAAAAAGGAAAAAAGGCAGATTTCTTGCAAATCCCTGGAATACGCCGCCAGTGCTCACCAAATCTCCCAACAACTCATGCTGCCCGCATTATCATACACCAGGATGCAAGACAGACGACATAAGGAGGCAGTGACAGCGAGGGCATAGATCCGCCCCCCTCAAGACCCCGGCTCGGCATTAGGCGCCCCCACGACACCCCGTCCAAACCAATCCGCCACCGTCGCAAACGGGTCCTCACTCCGTTCCAACTCCGCCTTGAACAGCTCATGCTTCCCCGCCGTCTCCATCTGCGTCGCCCGCAGCGCCCGGATCGTCGCGTTGTCCTTGGCACAGAGGGGACACCCAGGCTCGTTCGCATTCCCAGTCCCACCGCCTCCGCCACCGCCTCCGCCTCCGCCTCCACCACCTCGCAGGCACCGCTGGTGGAAGCTGTGCCTGCAAAGAAAGTGCACGGCCGGGAGGTCGAGCGCCTGCCCGCAGTCCGCACACCGCGTAGCCTGGAACACGGCCGGCTTGGTCCCCATCTCGGCGAGTTCCGCCCGCTTCTGTTCCGTCTCGGCCCGGAACGCCGCGATGCGCCGCCCGTTCGCCGCGATCTCCTGCCTCTCCCGCTCGATCACCTCGCGCAGGTACGGCTTGATCATGCCCATGCTGGCCACCCCCCCGCCAGCATTGCTGTTGTTACTGTTACTGTCACTGCCCGCCTGGCCGACCAGGATCTGTATGACCTGCAACGGCGCCATCAGCCCGTCCTTGTCAATCTTGGCGAGCACGGCCGCCAGCTCGTCGGCGCCCGCCTCTTCCAGGACGCGCGGGTCGGAGGCGAGGTAGGCCAACGCGGCCGGGTAGAGCTGCGGCTCTTCGGGTCCGTACTTGCGCAGCGCCTTGATGGCGCCCCGCGTGTCCTTGGCCGACGTATAGGACCGGAAAATGTCGAACAGGAGGCCGGACTGTTCCTTGACCAGCCGGGTGCCGTCCTGGAAATCCGAGAGGTGAGACAGGAGCAACACGTTGGAACTCTCCATGGGGATCTCCTGGCCCTCGATCAGCTTCTTCGCCTTGTTCTCCCACTCCTCCCGGTGCTGCTCCCCCTTCTTCTCGTTGGACTTGTGCAGGTACATTTCGAATAATGTCGTGTATAGATCCGTCTTGTCTGATTCTTTCAGATCCTTCTCCTGCAAGCACGCTTCTAGGAAGACGACAAACTCGTCTGGGTGATCGATGAAGGACGAAAACGCCGTCCGAGGTGGTGGTGCGGAATACTGCAGGATGGGGAGATCGTCGGGGTTGACGACGACGGGCGCCGCCTCACCGTTGGGCGGTTTCGTGTCGTTCGCGTTCGCGTTCGCGCCCGGCGTAGCTGGTGTAGCGGAGAAGGATGCGGCGTTCATGTAGGGAAGGGGGAGGAGATTGGTGAGGTTTTGCATGGCACTGGTAGCGCCGGCCATGACGCCTCCGCTGGCGGGGTTGCCGTTGTCGTCTTCTGTCGGAATCAACTGGAGCTTGGGCCGATACTTTCCCGTATAGTAGTCGATGAACAGCCGTGTTGCTTCTTTTGGGCAGTGCTCGATGAGCACTCTTGCGTATTTCTTCAGACAGGGGTAGGCCTTTTGTTTTTGTTAATTTATCTTAAATTCTTTTTGTTCTTAACGCCGGCAGTAAACTCACCACTTCGGGCTCCTGTTGCCAGATGAAATCCAGGGCGTCGTCATAGCGCTTGGAGTCCTCGATCAAAATGTCAACGACCAAGTCGGTCTCTCCGTGTTGCTTCGCTAGGTAGGCGGCCTGCTCGTAGTAGCCGCCCTGGCGACACATGGAAATAGCCGTCTCAAGGTCGAACTTCAGGTCGCCAGGCGACTTGATGAAGCGCTCGAGCTTCTCCGTGTCCTTGAGCTTGGCGTAGCAGTTGAGAAGCAGCGTGGTGTGATCGGCGGTGGCTTTGCGGTGGTCGTGCAACTGCTCGAGATACTGGATCAAGTTGTGTATCCTTTGCGTGTCGAGGAACTAGTGGAATTTCAACTCGTCAGCGATGGTACACGGCGAGAAGAAGGAAGGAAAACGACTTCCTACTTTGCGAATGACTTGTGACGGCTCTGTAGTATCGATGGCCTTGATATATTGAACCATGGCGCCGTCGTGGTCGCCCTTTTGGTAAAGATGATCGCCGAAACGACGGAAAATGGCCGTCTGCTGCTTAAGGTCCATTCCGGACTTCTGGGCCAGGTCGATGGCCAGAGGGAACATGTTCCGCTGGTATAGTAGTTCCAGCCTTTGTTGCAGGGTTCTCTCGTGGTAGCGGTGGATCTTGCCATCCTGAGTCAAGACGAACAGGTCCCCCCAGATCTGGAACATGGCTTTCAGAGGCGAGATGAGGGATTCGGTATGGCCGATGACGCGCAGGTCCGGCTCGAGCAGGACGAAAGTGGAGGCGTTGTGGAAGGCATCGGCCACCTCCCCGAACCGGCGTCGAACGGGATCCGCTTGCCTGTCCCTGTCGGAAGTGGAAAAAGAAGGGGGGCAAACGAGGGCGACGTATTCGTGGAAGACGGAGACGAGCTTCTTCGGAGACTCGTAGGCTTTGGGCGGGCCCCGGCCGTCGGCGGTGTAGGTGTAGATGGCGTCGTCGCGGACCACGACAATCTCGGCGGTGGCCTTGTCGAGGGCGATGCAGCCGACGTCGCAGCCGGCGTCCTCGACCGTCTTGGGCGGGGAACCCTGACCTTTCCGGGAAATGGTCATCTTCAGGATGCGGGAGGTGGTGGAAACGAAGAGGGTGGTGGAGGACGAGTTGGGGTCTGCTAGGAGCTCGACGCCGGTGACGGGCTCCTCGGACTCGTGCATGATGCGCTGCTTCGAGCCGAGGTCGTTGATGAGGTCGCCGCGGATGAGGGTGACGGTGCCGTTGGCGAACCCAACAGCGACTTGGGAGAGGTCGTCGAGGGCGGAGACGGCAGAGATCTGGTAACAGGGAGGTAAGACAAACAGCTGCGACGACGTTGACGTTATGGCAGGCTCATGGTGCCTGTGGCCAGACTAACCGGAAAATTCTTCTTTCCATTGTTGATGGTGAGTGTGCTTAAACAGGTCGGCAGGTTCGTCTTCTTGTCGAGTTTATCCAACGCCCATACCTTCAAGATGGGCTCGCTGGTCAAATCCTCCTAGTGGGATGGGCATCGTCAGCTAAACAGCCATGCTATGTCTGGTTGAGACCTTTGTGCTTTTCATTTTCACCACATACAGCAATAGTCACCAGCAAGCTCGTCCCCTCCACCTGTCGCATGTGTGTAATGGCAGCATCGTGGGCGGGGAAGCTCTGGACGACCTTCCAGCTCGCGCCGATGATGCGGACGTATCCGTCGTAGGTGGCGAGGAAGAGGCTATCGGATCCGGAACAGACGGTGGAGATTTCGTTGCTCTCGAAAAGACGCGTCTCTTCGTCGGCGAGTCTGATCTGACTGACGTCGAAGAAGTCGAATGCCCTCCACTGTTGGTGATGGAATCTAGTCAGCTCTGTGGGTGGGGGGAGAAGGGGGGGTGGGATAGGAAGGGAAGCATACCGAAATAGCCATGGCTACATCGCCTCAAGATGAGGTTGGAGGCGTAAGAGGCGAATTCGAATGGACGTGGGAGGGCAGAGTGGGAGGGAGAGTGGGAGGTTGAGAGGTTGCTAAGGTGAGGACGCGGTCTTGGGTCTTGGGGGTCTTCAGGTTGGGGTCTTGGTCTCGGGGGGTTCAATGCTGGCAGCCAAATGACGCTGCTGTGGGGAGCTTGGAGCCGTGCACGATGATTAATCTTACTAAGCATCAGCTCTGCTGGGTTGCATGAAAAGCTGGAAAAGAGCGAGTACTATGTACTTCCACTCCAAGTCGGTGAAGCATGCGAAAACTGTAACATGGAAAAGTATATTCTACAAACATACTACCAAGGGCATCAAAATCCCCTATATCAATACCGCAATACCTCCAATGGACATATCAACTGGGTATCATGCTGAATCCTATCCGTATATCCCAACCAACGCCTCTATTCATTCCTTCATAATCCCCGACTGCAGAAGCTGTTTACCAAAACCTCCCCTCGTAGTCTTTTCCTCCCCCCGAAAAACATACGACAAGCTCTCCATGTCGACCAGGGGAACCATCGACGGCCTCCCGTGCGCGCACTGAAAGGGAAACACACAGCAACCCAGCCGTCGAAGCAGGTCGCCGCACTCCTCCAGGGACAGTTCGTCATTGAACATGATGGCGCTGCGGCACGACCTGGAATGGAGCATGTCCAAGATCCCCTGCGGACATCCCTGGAAGTTGGCCACCCAGTCGGCCGCGCTCCGGACGCCCGCTCCGCCCTGGGATGATGCCGCGTACGCGTACGCGGGCACCCCCCCTTCGTCCTCCCACCTCCAAATCTCGTTACGGAGCAGGCCCACCACGAGCCGCGGCTCCGCGCAGCCCCTTTCCAGGATGCTGGGCGGCAGGCTCGTGATATCCACGACGCCGGTTCGACGACGCCCGCTTTCCGGGGGACGGGGATGTGGCTGCCGTTGGCCGTGCTGCACGGGCGGCCTGACGCGGTACACCACCCCCCAGTGGCTCCAGTAAGCCGAAAAGCGGCGAAGCAGCTCGCACTCCCGGACGTCGAATTCGAATGTTAGGGTTGTTCCCAGGGTCTCTGTTCGAGCTCGCGGCCCCGTCCCGTCGACGTCGACGAAGTAGTCCCGCATCAGGGCTTCGAGGCGGCACCGCTCGTCCGCGGCGTGCTGGTCGACGAGCACCAACAGGGACCGCGTTTCCGAAGGGAGTCTGACGAGGAGGAACTTTCGGTCCACCTGCGCGATGGCTTTGGCCCGACCCAGGGCGCCTCTGGACAGCTTTTCGCCCAGTCGGAGCGTGGATAGGTCGAAGGAGACGCCGCCAGTACAAGCCCGGGTAGGGTCTTTTGCGTCGCCGCCCGCGGTGGTTGTCGCCTCTTCGATGCGTCGCACGGGTGGGTCTACGGTTGGGAACACGGGGTTCTCCCACGCCGAAACCACCTTTTCCACCCACTCGCTAGGTTCGCTCTCGGTCGTCGTGGTGTCCTCGAGTCGGATTCTCTTTTGCGTGGTATATTCGCGGCATGACGCAGCAGGCGCAACAGATGCGTCGCTCTGTGATTCGTTGAAACGAGAGGCGGGAAATGTAGTCGAGGTCCCGGGAGCTTTAGGTTGGGAGCTCCCGGGTCGACTGGTAGGAGTGCCATACGCTGCATCGCGGAATTTTCCATCGCCACACTTGGTCGTGGTTACTTCCGGTACGTCCACATCGTCAAAAGGCTGTCGCAGCAGTCGACCGTTCTTGTCAATGAGGGGAGATTCCGGCTTCGACGGCGACTCGTGCGCACACGATTTACACGCAGGAGATTGGGCTTGCCTCGCTTTACCGACCTTGACGCGCTGCCACAGGTCAAAGGGCGACTCTGGACGGCGGGGGGCGGTTGCTACGGGCGTCGCAGACCGTGGGTGCTTGCGTTTCGACGGGGCAGCGGCAGTCGCAGCGGCACCCCTCCGTTCAGCGGGTTGCGTGGTCGTCTGGAACCTGCTCGAAATATCCTTCTTCGCGGAGCGAGTGTCCCTCGCCAGCGAATGGGGCCGAAAGTGATACTTCTTCAAGAATTCGAAGCACATCAACCTCAACAGGTCGACGATGCCGGAAAGCGTGTGGGGGCGGTCGAGGGTTTCGTCCAAGGATGGCAAGCGCCGCGCAGGCTCCTGGTCCGAGGACAGCTCTACGCGAAAGTAAAACATGGGCCAGCGATCGAGCGTCCGTTTCGTCCTCAGCTGCCGGGCGGCGTACTTGTCCCTCGGCTCGCCGTCGGTGTCGCCTTCGTCTTCTTCGGCAGAGAAGGCCGAGTTGGAAAACACGCGGCTGACCTGGTCGTAGAGGACGTTGAGGCCGTACTCGTTGTGCAGGGGGTGGATGCCCAGGCTGATGAACTGGGCCCGCCTCGTGGCGACGGCGTTGAGGGATATGCAGCCACGTACGGACAAGTTGCCGGCCGATGCGGCGACGGGAACCCAGGTGCCGTAGGACAGATCGTCGGCCAAGCCGGCCTGCACCAAGGACGTGGAGACTCGGGTCGTCAGAGTCGCATCAGCGTCGGAGTGAGTCTGTGTCTGAACGCCCGACTGGTGAGACGGAGGGGGCGGTCTGAGCCGGACTTGGTTGCCGGTGATGCCGTCTCGAAGCGAAAGGACGACGGGGCGAGGCCAGGCGAGAACGATGGCAACAGCCAAGCGGACGAGACGAGAAAATTCCCTATCCAGCGAGGACTTGTCGGCAGCCAAGGGCCTCTGCTTGACGCGGACAGGCATGCGCCCAAAGAGGTCTCGGACGACGACACGGGTGCCATGGTCAGAGGAGAGCAGCCGAAGCCTGTGCTCCGGGAGGGCCGGGGTGTTGCGGGCCAAGACTTTTCCGTTATGGATGGTGATGGTGTTGTGAGAAAGATGTTCGTGGTGGTGAGAAGTGATGGAGGTCAGGGACAGGGTGGCCAGCGAAGAGACGAAGGCGCCGTGGGATCCATAGATGTGGTCCGTCGGCGGATATCGCGAGGTGTCTGCGAAAAGGGACTGAGTATTAGCATGTTCACCCCCTCCCGGTTCCCCCATACTGTCTCCCGAGAGCGGCGACTGCTGTGCTCACAATGATGCTTGCCTAATCCTCCGGTCTCGCGAAACTCGTCAGGTGCGATACCGAGGCCATCGTCTTCGACGGAGCAGTTGCCTCTAGCGTACTCGACCGAGACGTTGATCTTAGTAGCCGAGGCGTCCACAGAGTTCTTGATGAGGCCAAGGACGGCGTCGTTCAAGGAGGTAATGACGACGGACGACCTGATCTGCTGAACCACGTCGTCTGGCAGAGGCCGGATGGACATGAGGGCTATGGCGGGAAGAAAGGATCCTGGTAGAAACAGTACCCGATCATAGAGGGCGATTGGATCACATGGAGGACCTTTTACCGGAGATGGGAAAGAAGGGGTCGACAAGTTGACCCTGGGGGGGTGTTGTATGCCCAGTGCCGTCGATGGTTGTGTGATAACAAGTTGAAGATGTGTGATGAGATTGTGGTGGTGCGATGAGCTTGGGTAAAAGGGAGTGCAAGTGCTTAGTAAGATCATTGGTTTGGGAGACCAGGGAAGGCATACACAGAGCTCTTAGTCAGCACAGATGGGTCAGATGAGCACCGATGACGCAGCAGCATGGACACAGGCAACAAAGCGACGTCATCTCAAAAGTACTGTACCTGTCCGACGACTCTGACAATCAATATTACAACAAAGTTTTGACGACAAAAAGGAAAGAAAACTAAATAAATAAGAAAAAACCCCTCGCACATCTTCGTACGAAGAAAATGACATGGTCCATATCTTCAAGTGCTGAGTGGCTTCAAGGCAGGCCTTGGCAGTAATAAGGGTATATCGATTGGATGAAGCAATGCCGTACGAAGTATCAAGTACCTGTATCCGAGGAGGTACAAGCGATGAGGTAGCAGGCACTGACTGAGACGGCGGTGACACCCGATAGAGACCTTCTAAGAACAGTACCTTCCCTATCGGAACTAAGGTACCTATTCACGTGTAGATAAAAGCCGTCCTCGGTACATGCTTATACATGTACGTCGGGCGCAGGCAAACACAGCGCCCAAACGCTCGCAATCACCCTAAAACAATTCCCAAGCAGCGCCAAAACCACCACCAAACCCTCCCCTTTCCATTCAATTCCCACCCCTCCCAAACACCTTTCAGCGATTCCATCCATCGCCCTGCCCTGCCCTGCTCTGCCCTCCTTCCACTCCTTCCACTCCTTCCACTCCTTCCACTCCTTCCACTCCTCTAACATTTCTGGTATTTGGTCTCCTCCACAGTATTTCTTACTTGTGGATCCTGCCTCGCCAGCTCGATTTCGCAACTCCTCCATATCTTCTCATCGTCACCCCATCGGCCAGTCCAACGGCCAAACCATTCGTCCATCTCAACCCTCCATCCCAGACTCGCCTCTCATGGCGACGACCGCAGCCCCGTCCCTTCCTCAGGGTAGGCCAGGCCATTTCCCCCCTAATCTTCGACTCTCTTCTCCTCTTCTACCCCCTCCGTACTAACGTCGATGATAGATCAGCCTGACCGTTCCGGGCGTCGCCGTCCATTCTCCACATGGGTAAAGAAGCTCACCAACTTCAACAAGGGTTCTTTTTCTTCGTCCAACGATCCGTCCTCAACGAATTCGTCCAATACGAAGCGACCTATCACCAAAAAGAAGAAACAGGACAAACGCGCTCCCTCCAAGAACAACAATCCCTACCCGCAGTCTGGCACCATCGGCACCCGCCACGGTGTCTCTACCCACAATCACAACAAGACACACAGCTCTCCTTCTTCCTTTTCCACCGCCCAGAGTAATGGCAGCCTCAGCTCACTGGATCCAAGCCCTCCATTAGGGTACGGGGACGGGGACGGGGACGGAGACGGAGACGGAAATAGCCATCGCAGACACACCGCCGGCGCGAGGTCTCTGGCCCCAACTGTAGCCACCGACCATGAAGCCCAGCAATCCATCGTCGCTCCCTCCTCAGTTGCTGGGACCAGCCGCACCGTCGGCGGCATGGAGTCGCGTCGTGGAGGCGACAGCACTTTCTCCTCTCCGGCGCCCTCGGTCCGTTCTCTGACCACCACCCTAACCACCATCCACTCGTCCGTGCCGCCCAACGGCCAGCAGCAGCAGCAGCAACAACAACAACAAGCAGGGACGCACGGCGGCGGCACCGGCCACGGCCACGGCCATTCCAGCAGCATCCACCACGGCCAGAACAACAATAACAACAACAACAACAACAACAACAGCAGCAGCAGCAGCAGCAGCAACAACAACAGCAACAATAACAACAACGCGCAGGCGATCCAATTCCACCAACCGTTCCCGACCACCACGACCCCAGCGTCCGCCATCCCCGCCCACCTGGCTCCCTCGTCCGCCGGCCCCGGCCATCCCACCACCTACTCGAGCGCGACGGCCAACAACCTCCTCACCGACAACGCCTCGATCCTCACGCTCGCGTCGTCCTCCCAACGCCGCCGCCGCCGCTCCCTCGACACCGACGCCTCGGTGCGCGCCCTGGCGCCGTCGTCCCTGTGGGGCGGCAGCCGCGAGTCCTTGCCCCTCAGCGTGCTCAGCGCCAACGTCGACCCGACCGGCAGCGCCGTGGCGCCCGCGCCGGCGGGGTTATACCAGTCGCAGGGCGGGTCGCGAGGCGGAGGCGGCGGCGGCGAGCGCAACAGTGTGTACGCCAAGCAGCAGAACGATGGCGCCAGCATGCGTAGCGGGCTCTTGGGCCACGGACGGGCGGAGAGTATTAGTGGGAGTATCGGCGGTGTGTCGAGTCCGTTGGCGAGTCCGCCGGAGAGGAACACGGAAAAGGACGGAAAGGGGGACAGGCAGTAGGACGCTTGTGAGGTGTCTCGGTGCCGGCAGATGATGATGTCTCGATGCCTGTTTTTGCTGGTTTTGTGTTTTTGCGGTTCTCGAAGGCGGATTACACGAGGGAGGCTCCTAGGCAAGGGATCTGTCTAGAGGCTTGGTACAAGACCGGGCTTGGGAAGGGGTACAATATGGGGTTGAGCCTTTTTCTTTTTTTCTTTTCTTTTTTTTTCTTGTTTTTTTCTTTCTATATTATGCTGGGTTCTTTGGCTGGGAGTAGGTGGAAGGGATACCCAGTGGTTTTGTTTCGTCGCGAGACCGTAAGACTAAGTGTGACCGTGAGACATGGGATGCTGGAACACTGAACAGAAATGAAGACGATGAGATTCACAGCGAATGGTAATAACAAGGCCTGTCCGAATACATTACATTATGTAGGCATGGGAACATGGGAACTGTCAAGTTTCTCCGTAAATTTTGTTTTTTTTTGCCTCCGCTCTACTCCATTAGCACCTAATAATACGGCAGGGGTTCAAGATCAAGACCATCAACGGAAAACCGGAACGAGTCGTTCCTGTGTGACGGCCGTCGTCGTTAGAGCGCGCGATGCAGCAGAAGCAGGCAAAAGGGGGAGGAGAGGGAGAAAGAGCTTGCCTAGAATAACTGCCGCCGGCGTCCAAGTCCAGCCTTCCCCGAACACAGTCCTCGAAATCGACGTCGGCCCAGATGATTCCCTGGTCGTCTTCCCACTGGGGACCGGCGAGGACGTCTCCCAGGGGACCGACGATGCAGCTACCGCCGCGGGAACTCCATTCCGTCTTGGCAGAGTCTGCAGAAGCGGGGGCGGGGCTGCGACCATTCACTTCCCCGTCCTGTTCTTGAACTTGCGTCTGTGAGTGTGACTGTGAGTGTGACTGTGAGTGTGGCTGTGACTGTGACTGTGACTGTTCCTCTCTCTCTTTCTCTTTCTGCCCCTCTTTCTCCTTCTGCCCCCCATCCTCATCACAGCAGAGCACAATCTCATGCCCATCCTCCACCACGACGCTCTTCCTCCGGCGGTGGCCATGATGCGGCGGGAACGAAGCAGCCACGGGGCTCGCGATTTCGGGGACAGAGTCGGCAACGGATCGTGTGGGCTCACTCTCGCTCTTCTTGGGGACGGCCATGTTGGAGCTGACGACGAAGCAGCGGCCCTCGCAGGCGACGGTGCGCATCAGGCTCAGCCAGGCGTCGCGGCCGTCGGCGGTGGGGGCGAGGTAGAGGTTGATGTTCTGGGCGTAGAGGGCCTGGCGGACCAGCGGCATGTAGCTCTCCCAGCAGATGGCGGCGGCGAGGTTGAGGCGGATGCCGCGGATGGTGGTGGACACGGCGCGGAGGGTGGCGGGGGCGCCTTGGGCCCAGATGAGGCGTTCCGAGGCCGTCTGCGTTGTCGGTTGTCAGTTGTCAGTTGTCAGTCGTCTGGTCCATCAATCTGTTTTGCCAACGAGGGGCAGGACGGACGTACGGGCATCACCTTGCGTCTCTTCCCAATGACCCCCCTGACCGGATCGACATAGACAACAGCGCAGTACAAACTCCCGCCCGCCCGCTCAATCAGCCCCACGACGAGGAAGACGCCCGTCTCGCGACTCAGCTTTTCCAGCTCCTCCCTCGTGCCGTCCCCACGCACCCCGCCCAGGCCGTCCTCGCCGTCGTGGCTTCCGGCGGGGCTCAGTTCGCGCCTCACCCACTTGACCCCGCCCCCGGCGCCCGCCTCGCCGACAAGGTCGCCCAGGTCGACGGCGCCCTTGAAGTAGTGGCGGAACTCCTCCCTCCCGGCGGCGGTGCGGTCGCCTACCACGGTGCCGAAGCCCGAGCCCCGCGGGTAGCCGCCCAGGAAGGCTTCCGGGAGGAGGAGCAGGTCGGCGTGCAGGGCGGCGGCGCGGCGGGTGAGGGCGGCGAGGTGTTGCATGGTGCTTGTTAGGCCTGAGGGGTGGGAGCCGGGGCTTGCTGTTGCTAGACGCACGTGGTGGCGTGCTGGGGGTGGGGGGTCGGGGGGTGTCATGGTGGGTGTGTGATGAGACGATGTTGGTGGTGATGGTGGTGGTGATTGTGGTGGTGATGCTCGACAAAGGGTGTTGTTGGGAATGGCCGATTGTTAGTAATCAAGTAGAGTTGAATGACGTGGTGGAAGATGACAGTGTACTATAAGTATCTGACCTTGGTGTCTGCTCTCTGTTGGTATCACGAGCTTGGGGAGCAGAGGAAGGGGGGGATGATGAGATGTAAGAGTCACAAACTAATTACCTAGGTACCGAGGAAGCTCCCGAAGCTGCGAAGCTGCGAAGCTCGGTGTAGTACCTTACTGTACTGTACCTATGGTGACGCCATTTGCTATTACACATACATATACATATTACTAACACATTACATATTACTACTCCTATCTCCCCCTGTAAGTTCGACAAGTTCTATCCTCTGTTCCATGTCCATGCCTCGAGCAGGAGGAAGCCGACCGTGATGCTCTCATTATACGCCATTTAATGCCAGCATAACCACATGTTAATTCAATCAATTCCCCCACTTAAATTTCAGTCGCGCCAGGAAAATGAAACTACATACCAGGTATCCAGGCATCGCCGGACTCATCATCCAGCCATCGATCTGCAGAATACGTCTGGGCGATCATGAACACCGTGCCATGATATCTTAAGAATCCAGTCAGGTCTACTACCGAGCACTGTAAAGTCGACGGGTGCGACGGGTCGAGTGCTGCGTATCTTCCTACTAATTGCCCTATATTTATATTACATTTTACAACGCACCCCCAGGCTGGCGGACTTGACGTTGAAAAGACCGTTGACCCAGATATATGTTATATCTGGCCCATTCTCGCGAAGAATCGACAGACACAGACAGCTTCCGCAGCCTCCGAAATTATACTCAAGATTCGGGAATATCGCGAGTATTCATAGTATTCGGCATCAACCTGACTGCTTCCCTAGTCCCTAGTCATAAATAAATACTACTACAGACCAAAAGACTATCACGATACCCGAATTCAACGCCTTCCCATGCAGCGAGTTGAGTGAGCCCTGGTCCCAGCCTTTCCGCCTCGGGGTATGTCCACCAAGAACAACCTGAAAAGGAGAAGAAAAAGAAAAAGAAAACAAAAATTTACATACTTCCTTGAACCCATCCATTCCCGTGTAAAATCCTCCTTGTTCCCAAGACCGTCGAGAACCCTGGAGATAAGTGAATAATGAAGAACCCGAAAGCAAGCCAAAGCGCCCTGAACTCTCCCGAGCCCAGTTTTGAACCTCCCCCATTTCCCAACACGACCCCTCCTCCCCCCTTCCTAATAATTACCGTCGCCAATCTGTCGGTATAGTATGGTATCCTTGCCAGTTGCTGGCCCGTATCCCTGGTCTAACAGTTCATTCGATTTCCCTCGGATTGCTTTTCCACCGGCCCGTATTGTTTTTTTTTGTCTTGTCCCCTTCCTCCTTGTATGTCGTCGTTGAGTGTGTTTTTTTGTCACGTCTGGACATTATCCTTTCATAAAACCGCATGACGCCTGGTCATGCCTTGGGCCACTCTCGATGGAATGGGGGAACGGGAGAGAGAGGGGGAAAAAAGGGGGAGAAGAAAAGGAACAAAAAGGACAAAAAAAAAAAAAAAAAGGAAAAGAAAAGAAAAGAAAAAAAGAAAAGAAAAAAAGAAAACCCCCCCCCTACTCACTCACACACCCTTCCTCCTCCTCCTCTTCAAACAAAAACCATTCTGAATCCGCCCCATTCCGCGCCCCCACCAGCCCCATCTCCGCCCGAACATCCCTCTGGATGCGGAGGAAATACCGCCGGAGCGACCGCAGCCCCCGAATGAACCCCCAGTCCGGCTCGTCCGGGTGCTGCGGCGGACACGGCTTCCCCTCCGCCAAGTCGCCCTCGGTCAGGCTATTGGCAAAGTCCGCAATCTTAAAATCAATCTCCCGCTTGTTCCGACGCCGCCGCCTCTCTTTCAATGCCGCCGCCGTCTCCTCCGTATCCGTCGCGAAATCCGTCGTCGAGTCCTCCACCGCCGTATCATACTCCCCACCGGCCCCCGTGCCCGTGCCCGTGCCCGTGTCCCCGTCGTAGAACATCAGCAGGCTGGCCGCGTAGAACCGGTACCCGTCCAGCCCGCGCACGATCGACTCGAGCTGGTCCAGCTTGGCCAGGATCGTCGGGATGTGCCGCAGGATGCTCCCCGCGTCGACGCCGTCGTACAGGAACCGCGTCAGCGCCGCCTGGAACTCGCGCCCCGCCGTCAGCCCGCGCCCGTAGTACTTGTCCCTGAACACGTACGACTGCGAAGGCACGTCCCACACCTGCAGCCCGCACACCCGCACCCCGAGCTGCCGCGACGTCGTCCGCGCGCACTTCCCCTGCTGCGACTTGCGCTTCTTCGGCGTCGCGTCCACCCCGTACTGCCGCGTGCCCATCTTGAGGTCCATGATGCACGGCCGCTTCATCCCCGCCGTCAGGTCCTCCAGCAGCAGGAACAGCTCGGCCCGGCAGTCCTTCCGCCCTTGGATCTGCGCCTCCTTGGGGTTGACCGGCCGGGGGATCTTTTCGAATTCTTGTATCGGTGCTGGTGCTGCCGGCGCTTCCACGGCCGCCGAAGCAGACACCTCCTGCGGCATGCCGTCCCTCTCCTGGCTGTGGGCGATGCCGTTACCTTGCGTCGTCGTCGTCGGCTTCGTCGTCAAAGATTCAATCGCTTCCTCGCGACCCGGAAGGGCACATCTCGTCGTGGCAGTAGTCTCGTCGCCATCGTCATCGCCCTTGATGCGCGCATCGTCCGCCTGTTCCCAGTACTTCAAACGACCCCTCGAGTCCATCACGTCGCGCGGCTTCCTCCGCAGAGCGCTGCCCGAGTACCGACGCTTCCTCTTCTTGTGGTCCGAGCTCATCTGCTCGCCGAGCGTGTCTGGTTCGGGCGCACTAGTTCCCGTCACGTCCGGCACGTTGTCTTCGTCACTGTCGCTCCTCGTCGTGGGCTTCGACGCTCCAGCCTCGTCGAGGCACTCCTCGCCGGCCGGCTTCTGCGCGTCTGTGTTCTCCGCCGCCGGTGGGTGGTCCACTTGGGTCGTCACTTCCTGCGATATGCCCTGACGTTGCGCCGACGCCACCGAATCCGACGGCGCCCGACCCATCTGGTGCATGCGGAGGGGGATGGACCGTTGATGCGGTCGCCGATGCTTGCGCACGGGGATCGGCTGCTTGAGGAACGCATCGTTGAACACCTCATTGCGGAGCCGCTTGTTGACGGTCGTGGCCCCCCAGCTGTTCGCGTGCCGCCCTTCCAGCTTGGGGCGTTCGGTTCGCACATTGATGGGTTCGCTGGCCCCGTTCGGGGTTGCTGCCGCCGAACTGCTTCGACTCCGGCCCGATAAAGAAGGCGGGGGCGTCGGCTGGAGCAGATAGCGCGGGAGGATGTGCTTGTTGTCGTCGAATGTAACAGTCGGGATGGGAATCTGTCCGGACGCCAGAGAACGGCTGATCACTCTCGGAGAGAGGTCGCCGTTCTGCATGGTATCGCCCGAGCGGCCTTCCTTGCGTGGTTGGGCGGCATTGGGATCCGATGGCGTCCGTGTCGCGTCATGATCACCATTTTGTGGACGCTCCAGCGAAGCAATTTCGTCGCGTTTATGGACAACCGACTTGCGCCTGACTTCCTTCGAAAACGTCACGTTCAGTACGCCGATGTATCTACCCACAGGCTCGTTCGTTAGCAACACTGACAAAGATCAAGACCGTTAACGGCAAAAGGAA